GGTTCAAAAAAAGATTCTATGATTTTTTTAATTTTACTTAATATTATAACTGAAGTGTTAGTTATATACTCATAAGTTAGTTGAAATGAGGGATTAAAAATACAAGTTTGTATCTTTATTATTCAGATGGGCTAATTTTGTAATAGTTTTTTTAATGAAAGCATAAACTCTGAATGTTTAACATTATTAATGTTATCTTTATTGACATAGTCATGATATTTTATTACGTGGTTTTACTTAATTTTTTTTATTCTTGACAATATTATTTTACTTCATATATCTACACAGAATAACAATGCATTGAATATTTATTCATTTTTGGAATTAAAGGTTTATGTCTGTTGATCTAATATCTATTTATTTAAAAAAACTTTTGTATATTAATTATTTTTTTTTAAGGTTTGCAATCATTTAATTTGTTTTAAACTTTTTATTTAATTTGGATTTATTTATGTTTTTTGTTCTTTTATTTTAGTTTGGTTCTGCATTGCAAAAAAACTGGCTAAAGCAGTACAGTAAAGTAAGCATTTCTTAATTTTTATGCAAGTAGATGCTTTAAGTTCTAAAAATTCTTTCTTTTACTTTTAGCTTGTTGAATCTGAAAGACCATTGTTTATTGGTTTGCATTTTCAAGAGATCGGCGGAAAATCACAGGTAGTTGACAGCGAAAAAATTGCTACCTTCTTCTAGTGAGTTAATCAAATCAATAACTTTTTAAAATTTTTTTATTATTTAAAGAACATGTGTAGAATAAACTGTTGTTTATTTTAATTACAGTGAGTTAAAAAGATTACCAGTTCACCACGGATTGTCATGTTTTTATTCATACATTGACAAAGAGTATGATGAACAGAAATATACAGTAAATTTCTTAACATCTTTCTTACACTTTGATTTATATCTTTATATTAGATATTTTATCTTTGACGCTTTAATTGTTTGATTATGTATCTGATTAACTTGAGTCAAAAAAAAAAAAAAAATTTAAAGTTTAAAGAAATTTTTTTTTTTTTTTTGTCATGTTTTTCTTTTTTATATAAATTTTTCTAAAATAATTTGTTATGTCAGGTATAATAAACTTTTTATTGTTTATAGTTTTTTGTTTAGTGTTTATATTTTTATTGTTTCTTTTTGTTTAGATTTTGTTTTAATCTTCAATGTTTTGTTTGTTTGTTGAAAAACATGCATTACTAAAATTCTTTCTAATCCATTTTTTTTATGGTTTATTTCAAACAAGCTTTTTTTTGTCAATTTGTTTTCTTAAAGCTTCTGTTCAAAAATAAATATTTGTAAATAGATTATCAATTTAAAGTGTCTTGTTTAACTGTGAGTTAATTTTTTTAAATATTATTCAACATCATGTTGTTGATTATTGTTTAGGCTTTGGGCTGCTGTTATTTCATTCATCAGTCACTTTTGAGTTCCATAAAAGTGTGGAATTTCAAAGGTCTATATTTCTATACATCCTTTGTTTGGTTCATAAATTTTTAAGGACATTTTTTTTATTAATAGAATTTAACTTCCATTTTTGAATCTTGATTACAATGAATGTAAAATAAAATGAACTTTTCAGGAAGATGCTGAGGAAGATCTGATGGAATATTTTATTTATTTTTTATGTATTTATATAAATAGGTTTTCTATTATGTTTGTGTTCAAAGACAATAAATATGTTTAAATTTTAATTAATTTAGAAAAGGAATTTCAGCCTCTTATTGAAGGAGAAGTTTTATTGGAGAATTATGAAACAGTGCAAAAATATAAATATCCATTAAGCTGTTTTTCCAAGGTAGAATAAATGACTTCATAATTTTATTTGAATTTTTTATAACAGGCTGCAAAAATTTTCCTTTCCCTTTGACTTTTTGCAAAAATAATACAATTAAAATTGAAATAATGTATTAAATTCTAATTTATTTTTAATGACCTATGTACAATATCTTGTATAGGTTGGTGATGGAGGGGAATATTGTTAAGTTCATTTATCCTAAAGACCGAACAGAATATATATATATATATATATATATATATATATATATATATATATATATATATATATATATATATATATATATATATATATATATATATATATAATATATATATATATATATATATATATATATATATATATATATATATATATATATATATATATATATATATATATATATAAATATATATATATATATATATATATAATATATATAAACAATGATAAAATAGTTTATTAACAATCCTAGTCACAAATAAAAAACAATATTACAATATAGGGGTAATGAGTAAAACAAATCGATTAATGTAAGGCATCTTAATTTTTAAACTGCATTTTCTCTGTTTTGCAAAACAGAGAGTGCTTTAAAGCTGGCATGTTGGTCTTTTCTGATATTATTTAAAGTCTGGCTAGTCTATCAGCTTTCATTATATAGTTAATCTGGAAAGGTTTTGAAAATTATTGAATCATTTCATTCTAACTGCAGTATTAAAGTGGCCTATATTATTATAACCAACACTCATGTTTAATAATTACTGGGGTACCTCAAGGTTCCATCCTTGTTTCTCATCTATATTAATAGTTTTTCATTTTATGATTGCTTTGAACGAGCACTTTATCTTATTTGTTATCTCTTCTGTGACAACTTAGGACTGTCAGTGTCTGGTGAGTTTTAAAACAAACAACACTTAGTTGTTTACTGCTAATAATTGTTTTAATTTATTTGATTATTTGATTCATTTTTTCTCTTGTTAGTCATATTTTAGTAGTTGTATATATATATATATATATATATATATATATATATATATATATATATATATATATATATATATATATATATATATATATATATATATATATATGTACACACACGTGTGTGTGGAGGGGAAGGGGGATCTGTGTTTATTTGAGACTGGGATTTTTCACATGAGGAAGAATGCAGGTAACAAAATAGAAGGTATTATTTATCTAAGAGTGTATATTTTTATATATATTATTAGATTGTTTAATGTTTTTACATAATATAATAATTTTAAGTTTACCAAACAATTTAATTATTAAATTTGAATAAAAATTTAAAAAAATAATAAAAAATAGAAGTAGATACATATTAAATATATAAGGCTAAGTACTTCTACTATTGCCAATCAATTTTTTTTTTACGGCTGTATTATTTGCATAACTAAGTTAATATAAAAAGTTAGAAATTTAATCATTTTTGGTTTCTATGTTAAAAATATTCATTGTAGCGTTTCCTCTTTGTTTTTGTGAATTTAGTCATTTTATATAAAAAAATAATAACATCAAATTTTTAAAAGAATAAAATAAAAAATTTTAATAATTCAAACTATTCTATTAAGTTTTTTGTTGATTTTTTGTTTTGCATTATAATCAAAGCATCTATTCTATTTCTTATTTTCCTGGCAAATAATCCCATGACTGAAAAAGCTTGTCCTGGCTACATTGTTGTTCTGGCTACATCGATGTTGGTTTAATTGTTTAGTAGTTTAATTTAACAATTATTAACATAAAGCTTAAAAAAAATTATCAAGGTTTTTAAACCTTATATGGGTAGCTTCAAATAAACTCATCTTTTTCTTCAAAATTCTAAATCGATTCTCATCTTTGGTGTTAGTTTCTTGATCTGTCTTTTCAATAAATTCTTCTTAATGAAATTTCATTTTTTTTAATTTTCAATGTATGTAATGATCTGCTGCAAGCGCAACCTCAACTTTAATATTAACTAATAGCTCTTTCACTTTTTGTGAATACTGCCTGTTTAAAAGTAAAGTAGCCAGAGATAGAATGTTCAGGGATTACCTTTTTCTGAATATTTCTGGAATTCTGGATATTTTTCTTAACTCCTAATTTTTCTGGATATCCAAACATTTTCCACACATACAAGTTTAGGTATATATTTTTGTAATGAGTTTGTTTTTTAAACTTTCTCACTCATTGCTCACACAAAATTAGGTTCAGTTTGAAAAAAGCCTGGAAATAACTCAGCTAAAAGCGAAATTACGAGGAAATTAAGGGAAGATATATTCCAGATTTTTTCCGGAGATTTTACAGATTTTACCACTTAAAGTTTCCGGTTTTTTAAAATATAACCTGGATGACCTGAAAATGTTTTTTTTTTTATTTATTTAATTTTTTTTCCCAGCTGACCCTTTTGCTTTGCCAAAAAGTCTGGAATTTTTAAAAAATATACAAGGTTGTGGTTTCTTTGCTCTTGAATTCAAGTTTTAAATTTTTCTGAGAGCAAAGCTCATTGATGTCTTTTAATGTTTTATGCAAGAACATTATTTAGTTTTGTTCTAAAGTTCATCATTACTCTTGCACCATTAGTGATTGTTCCTAAAATGCGATTGTCCAAATCCAACTTGAGTTTAGACTATCTTGACTTAGCAAGCTAAATAGTTTTTTTGGTTTTCATTCTTCATGGACACATGTTATTTCAAGTAATTGGAAACCAATTTAACCAGATTCAGTTCAGATTCATGTAACAACAATTTTTGACAGAAGTTCATCAAAACTTATAAAAAACGTCTTCCTTCTTCTTGAATCTTTTAAATTCCTTGCTTAATAATGGTGATTATTGTCCCCTGACATTTTGTAGATTTTTGATAAAATATAACCATCTGATTTAAATGATCTTCTAGGCAGAACATTACTTGCAATTTTTTTTATCAACTGCAACCTATTTGCTTATCACTTCATTAAGATGTTGCAAGCCTTTCTTAAAGAAAGCATCAATACAAGAAACTTTTAATGTTGTTTGGTTTTCTAGTAACGGATCTCTTGGCAAAATTTAGCTCAAATTTTATGCTTTGCTTGTAAGTGGTAGATAAGAGTTTTGTTTTAAATGCTTTCAAAACTACCAAACTTTTACTTTGCACTATCTTCTGTTTTGCTATAAAAAAAATATTCCAAATTATGTGATTTTCAAAAATTTTAAATATTTTTTTAAATATATGATATTTTTAATTTTGAATGTTATTATTTTAAAGATTTATATTAGGGTAGGGCGGGGCTAGTTGGGCAATTTTTACTAAATCTAACAGATCTTTTGAACGGTACATCCGATTAATATAATTTTTTTACTATTAGAAAGATAATTTGATCTGCTAAAAAATGGTTGAGACAATAAAACTTTTTTCGATTTTTTTTAGAAAATATTGTCTAAAGTTTATTAGGCTGCTCAACTTACCCCAGCGGGGTAAGTTGAGCAATTGCGTGGGGTAAGTTGAACAATAAAAAAATAAATGCATAAAACGTTATAAAATGTTATAAAACCAAAACAAAACTTCCTTATAAATTAAATAAATACTTTCAATTTGAACAAATTATTTAAGATATGAATGTCAAAACTAATAATTTTGATAATAAAATAAAAACAAAAACAAAACTTTTTAATCTTAAAACTAAACACAACTTTTTTTAAAAATTTTAAAACTTGTTAACATTATGATAAAATAATAACTAAACACTTTATGTTAGTCTTCAATTTTCATTTTGCAGTTAATACAAATATAATTTTGATCAGAATGTGAATCACATTTTGAATGACATAATTGATTGCAACCTTGACACTGGATCCAATTTTCTTCTGGTTACTTTCTTTATAGACTTTAGAATAAGTTTCCCAACATACAAGACAAATAATCAATATGTTTATATAATATAAATTATAAGTTATATGTTTTTTAAATATGCACACTATCATAATATTGTCATAATAAACATAGCAAACAATATTAATTTAAAAAAATTATTCAAGAACTTTTCAACTTGAAGATTTTATTGACCACGTAATATTGAAGTGAAAATATTTTAAAAATATTAAAAAATCAAATAATTTTTAATTATAAATGCATATTTAAAAAAAAAAGGTTTAAGATATTACCTTATAATTGTTATGAGTATTTTATAATTATTAATTTAAAAGTGTGAATAGACCTTAAAATGTTCACCAAACGAAATTTTATCTTCGCGTCTGATAAAGCCATTTTATTAATCGTTGTCAAATCTGCTCAACTTACCCTTACTAGACAAGTCGACACATCAGTTAGGTTATAAAAAGAACTATAAGGCTTGGGGAAAAAAGGATAAGTATAATCAATAGCCAAATAAATGGGTAAAATATAAACATTTAATGGATTCCAGATAAATGTTTTTTTAAGCATTTAAGAGAAAAATAGCAAAAATAATTTTTTTTACTTTTTTGGTCCAAAATCGAAAAAGTGTCTGTGCATGTTACTGAACCGCGGTCCAACAACTATTTGATGCGCATTTTATTACCATTCTAAATACCTATCTTTTATCCATTAGATGTTTAACCATGGGATGAGTAGTTTTTGATTTTATAGTTGTCCAACTTGCGCCTATGCTCAACTAGCCCCGCTCTACCCTACTGTTAACATTATTATAATATTCAATGCGTGTTTATTCACACACTTAAAATCAAGATTTTAGTTTACATTTTAAGTATTATTAGAAGTACTTAGGTAAATACTGGAAACCTAAATTTTTTATTGGGAACCTAAACGTTATAAAACTTTTTTCAAACCATTAAAGAAGTTCACTAATTAGAGTTTTTCGCAGCAAAAAAGTTTCATTTACAAATATAGTTTCTAAAAGAGTTACAAAATTTACAATTATCTCAAATTAATAGTTATAACTTATAATATTAATAAAGTAATTTTAAAAAATTACGCCGATAACAAGTATGCAAAAACTTAAAAATTACTATTTATAAATTATTCAAATTCTTTTATTTGGAATTAGCATGATTTTGTCAGCGTATTATGTCTAAACAAGAGCTTTAGATGCTATAAATTTTTTTGCATCAAGTTTTTATATCTAAAGAAACTTTTCTCTTTTTTATATAATTTTCATAACTTTTTTATTACCCCTAATAGTGAACCTAAAGAACACCATTTTTGAGTCTTTAGATCAATCTCCGCTCAACAGCGTTAACTTAATTTTAGTTTTGGATTTTTGAAAAAGTGCGTTAATCCACTAAAGATCCTCTAATCTGTTATAGTGCATATTAATTTAAAGTAATCGTCAAAACACATTTCTCTCAATTTTCACAAAAAATATTAGAATTCCGACCAAGAAAGAGCTTATAATTAAGAAAAATTGCCATTAAACAATCAGAACAGATCATATTAATAAACGGAATCATTTAATAGAAATATGTTGCAGTCAGCAACATAACTATTAAAACGATGCTATAACTATTAAAAATTGCCTTAACTACACCTAGTGGGAAAAAGACACTAGTGTACACTGAGACACCAGTGTACACTGAGACATTTTAACTTATTTATTTGCACCCTGTAGGCATTAATGAATTTTTAAAAGTTTGTTTTAAACACTTTTTTATGACTTAAAAATTAATTTATGTGACTTTGAAATGTCATTAATGTATTAAAAGATTTTAATAGTTTTTTTTTTAATAGATTTAATTTTTTTTTAATATTTAGTTTTTTTAATTTAGTAGCTGGGAAATTTTTTTATTGAAATAAATTTGTTGTTTTAGAAAACTAGAAGATGGCCAAGAAAAGGATTTACATGGACAAGATGGAGTTTTAAAAATGAGTAAATATTCCTTATATTTCTATTATATATAGTTGAGGTCATAGTTAGTAGTGGTTTTAAGTTTGGTTGATGGTAGAGTTGGTTATAAAGATGTAGTTAAAGGGGAGGTGGTAATAAAGATGTAACAGTTTATGTAAATTTCGATCCTATCATGATTAGATAACTTGATTAATAAATAATATAAACATTTACTAATTATTTTTTTAATTAATGTTAAAAAAGTTTATGCATTTTACTTAAAAGTTATTAGTATTTAGTTATAAGTACAATTGTCAGGTCTATGTATTTCTTGAATGATTCCTGTTATGTAAATTTCACTGTTAAAATTAAAAAGTATTGATGACTGGATGCACACTCCATCCAGCCTTTTCTTAGAAAGCAAATCCCACAACGTAGCAGGACATGGAACAGGTTCCACTGGGTTACGAGTATGTTACCAGTAGCAGGGTGATCATGAAGACCATACAATTGTGTATGGTCTTCATGACGTTTATGACATCATGGTGTTTACTTGCCTGTAAGCTACTTTATGTATGTTTTTGTTCTGTCTGAACCTCTGGTGCGGTGTTGGTTTACCTGTAAGTTACTTTATATATGTATGTTTGTATTCTATATGAGCCTCTGGCGCCATGTTCATCATCATGACCACCCTGCTACTGGTATCATGTAACCCAGTTATACATACCCCATGCCCTGCTTTGTAGGGTGTGCTTTTTTTAGACAAAGGCTAGGAGAAACAAACTCCAACTTCAAAATCCTGTCTTGGGTTTTTTGGTTAAGTAAGACTAGAGATATTGTCTTGATAAAAATACTCATCTTGGGTAGATGCTAACTGCATCCAGCTACTGTCTTGTAGAAAGCCTCCTAGGGAAAAACTTTAGGGGTAAGCAGAACAATTCTGCTAACTAGCTTTAAACTCTTTCTTTATCTACTAAGCTGACTTAGATGTAAACGTGTATTACATTGTTTCCTGCCTAGGATGATGAATGCTGGATCTGGTTGACTCTACTAGTATGTTTTTAAAACTTAGTTTAATGGTTCTAAGGCTAACTTGTAGTAAGGTTTCTTGAACTCAGTGGTAGCTCTCAGAGAGGCTGATTCCATCAACAGCTGCAAAATATGTTGTTAATAATTGTATTAGCAGTGCCATGTTGTGCATGAGTGGTGTCCCTGTTAATGCTTTTGGTGTACGTTGTCTAGGCCACATAAGGAGTCCTGTGTTATGACTTAGGGCTAGTTAACAGGGCTGAGACAACTGCATAGCTCATTGCTTAAAGGGATCCCAAACTCCCAACACATGTTGTGTTCATATTAAAGATAATGTTAAAAAAAAAGGTTTGAACCAAATTTTTTTGGTTAAAAATAAATAATGAATGCATACCGTGAAAAACAAATGTTGTTGTTTTTGCCGAAGCTCGTCTTCTCCATTTTTTTCAACTAATCGGAGTCTTCAAATTATGCGTCGCAATCTACAGACTTTGGCAATTCCTTTGAAGCGCGTTTAATTCATAAAAGTTTTAGTATTTGACGTCACAGTAGACTTTTAATAAATTAAACTCTAGAAATATTTTTATTTATTTTTAGTCGAAGTTTTTTTGATTATTTGTTTAGTTTTTGTTTTTTTTCTACTTTTAATATTTAAAAAGATATTAAAAACCTTAAATATTTTATGCTGGTTCGTTGCTATAAATTGTTGTTGCGCCATATATTTAATGTTTATAAATTATGAATATTTATTATCTCAAAAATTGTTTTACATTAATTACCCGTATAAAATTAGTAACAGCTTTTCTATTTGGTTAGACGATATTTCGTTTCAATTTGCTTTGCATGAAGTTCGGAAAGTCAAACGAAAAAAATTAGTTTGTATAATCACGTAAATCAATATATATTTAAAACAAATTATTTTAATGACGGGGGTTCTAAAGTTTTTTATAACAAATGTAGGTAAAAAAATAAATAACTAAATAAAAAGTTCAGTATTAAACACTATTTCTTTATTCTATTGCAACTGTAAATATTGAATTATTAACTTGAACTAAATTTACTTATTATTTAGAACGACTAAGCAATAAAAATAAAATGCCCCTAAAATTATGCGAGATTGTGTTGTTTATTTGATAATTGTTGTTGGCAATGTTGTTTATGTGATTATTTTCATAAATATCAAAATAGTTCCAGATTAACCTGTTTGTTGCTTTGCTCATTGTTGATTTATTTCTAATTTAATTTTATCTCAAACTATAATTATATGTTAAAAAAGAAAAGTTTTTCTTTCATCGGGCGCTCTTTCTTTAAAAGAGTAGAACAAATGAGAAAGAAAAGTTTTGCGCAATTAAACTTTGAATGAGTAAGAGTTGTAAAGAATATATATATTTTTTTGCTTCACTCATTCTTTTTTTAGATGAGAGAAATAAAAGTTTAATAGTAAATTTTCTTTGAATAAGTGAGAATTGGAAGAGAAAATTGCTTGAAAATTTGTATTTGTTAATTGTGTTTTTAAGTTGTTAAGAGACAAATGCCAATTACGACACAAATTTGGAAATACCAAATATAATATGTTTTTTAATTTGCGTTATGACATTTTAACAATTTAAATTACCATCTATCTTGAATTATTGCCTTTAATTAATGTGTTAATTATTGCGTTATTTAATAATAATTTGTCCGTTTTTTTGTTAAATATTAGTTGTATAAAACGGGCGAAAATATACAAACTTTATGTTTTTTATTTGGTGGTTATAAAATATTGAACAGTAAACTTATAATCAAAATTTCTAATGCCGACTTGTGTTGCAATTAATTGTAATTGCAATTAAATGCAAAATCAGGATCTCACAAATCCTTTCACGAATTTTCATATCTGATACTACTGTCAACTGTATTGTTTAGTGTATTCTTGCACTTTTTTTTCATAATCTTAACAGGTTCTAATTGGTATAGAGTTGCTGACACTTTAAAAATTTCATTATCAAAAATCAAATGTAAAATAAAATGGTATTTCCTTTTTATCCGTATCCAATTCAGCAAATTTAGCAATTTAAATTAAATCAGCGTGATCAAAAAAATTTTATAATAAAAAAAGTTAACAATTCATTAAATATCTCTAATAATTTGATATTTAATGAATTTAACAATTCATTAAATATCTCTAATATCTATTAATACTGTCAGTTTATGAAAGTAATTGTTAATAAATACTTTTTTTCAACAGGAAAACAAAAAATTGTCATAGCGTAAAAATAACCAGAGAAGTTAGAAAATAGTTCCCTTTGTTTAAATAAAAATAATTAAGTATCAGAATATATAATACTGCGCTCTCTTGCGCAAAAACAAGAGACCGTATATAAAACGTTCTATATAAAGTAAAATACTCGTATGAAAATCATGAGATAGTAAAGCTTTAATATTTGTTTTAATTAAAATAATTAAAGAAATATAAGTAAGATATATAAATCTAAAAATTATTAAGATATCTGTAAAAAATAAGTTGCTCCTATAAAATAAAAAGAATTTATTGTTTTTACTTTTTACAAAATTTTTTTTGCGATGTTTGGAAAAATAATACAAATAAATTTGTTTTGCTGTATGTTAAAAAAATACTACAGTAGAAAAACGCAGCTTAGTTTAATTACACTTTTCTTTTGTTAAAAGTCTACCGTGACGTCAAATACTAAAACTTTTATGAATTAAACGCGCTTCAAAGGAATTGTCAGTCTGTAGATTGCGACGCATAATTTGAAGACTCCGATTAGTTGAAAAAAATGGAGAAGACGAGCTTCGGCAAAAACAACAACATTTGTTTTTCACGGTATGCATTCATTATTTATTTTTAATCAAAAAAATTTGGTTCAAACCTTTTTATTTAACATTATCTTTAATATGAACACAACATGTGTTGGGAGTTTGGGATCCCTTTAAGATGCCATGCTCTATCTAAGAATGAGTCAAGTTCTCTTTATGCTTAAATCATGCCATAATGTAACCCAAACTATTAAACATGAAAAACTATTCCCATCACCTAACTGTTTTAATATATCTTTTACAAATATTCATGGTTTACGAAGCAACCTTCCACCAGTTGAATCTTACCTCTTGCAAAGTTCACCAGACTTGCTTACTTATAGTGAGACTAATTTAAATTCCACTATCAATCTCTATCTAAAATCTCCTTTTTTCTAAGACTGCAGTCTTTTAGATGTAATTTCTAATCAAATTGACCATGCCCTTTCCCTTTACCCCTCTGCCAATATTGTTGTTGTTAGTGACTTAAATGCTCATTGCACTGAATAGCTTGGATCTAATTCCACTGGTACTAAACCTATAACTTCTGACCCTGCTGGTACTAAACCTATAACTTCTGCATTTCTCATTCTCTTACTTAGATAGTTTACTTTGTTACTTGTTTTCTTGACAACCCTACTACTTACTACTACTTATTACCCTAAAGCTGACTGGGATTATTTTAGTGATTTTCTTCGTGATGGTTCTTGGGCTGATATCTTTTCTCTCAGCTGATAGATGCGCCTCCTACATAACCTCCTAGAATCAGCCACGAATGGAAACTTTTAATCCTTCTTGTCAGTTTCAAGTCAAGCCTCATTCTACTTTTTCTTCAACTTCAAGGTTTTCACCTTGTGCAGTTGCTAAATCTAACCCTAATCATATTTTTATCTTTTTCAAAAGAACAACTATTTTGAGAACAAATACTATCATGGTTGCTGCTCAAAGGAACTATCATCTCTAGTTTCGTCAATCAAAACTCATTCTTGCTTGACTCATTATTTAGCAAAGTCTCCTTCGTTTACTGTATATGTCCCTGCATGCTCTAAAAACTTTTATTTGTCTATTTTTTTTCCCCGCAATTCTTCAACTCATTGCAACTCTCTGCCATCTTCATGTTTTCCTGACTCATATAAGCTGCAACTTTTTAAGTCTTTTGTCAACTGTTTCTTTGCTCTTTACCTCTTTCTTTTTTTCTAGTTACTCTCAACTTAATAGTGGTTGCTTGCAGCCTTGTTGGGAGTGAATCCGAGTTTTAAAAAATGAGAGAAAAAAAAAATTATAAACCACTATTGTGTACCAAGAATATGAAGTTTTATAATGGATCAGTTTTTATTAAATGTAAAATAATAGTACAATACATAAAAAAAAAAAAAAAAAAAAAAAAAATTTTTTCAAAGAAACATTAAAAATATGCTTGAAACTATGAAGCTATGTTTTCCTGCCTAATTTTTTTTTTTGCTACTCATAAGTTAAACTCATTAAAAAGATAATTTGAAACAAATTGTACAAAGATACTTGAGCTCCATAGAATTAAGTCAAGTAGAGACTTGATTTTTTGTATACTACATTTTGTAATGTAATACTTTTACACATTTTTATATATTATGTAATACTTTTAAAGATGTTATTTTGAAAGTACTTGGCAAAGGAAATGCTTCTAATAGTAACAATATGAGCCTGCTTCATATGAACAACCCAAATAATAATTTTTAAAAAATCATTTCTGTGAATTATTTGTTTCTATCATAACTTGCTAGTAATAGCAAAACTAAAGCTTTACCAGCAAATAAAACAATCAGAAAGTATGTAGTTTACATCTTTATATCTAGTGTATATATCTATATATCTAGTGTATATATCTATATATCTAGTGTATATATCTATATATCTAGTGTATATATCTATATATCTAGTGTATATATCTATATATCTAGTGTATATATCTATATATCTAGTGTATATATCTATATAACTAGTGTATATATCTATATAACTAGTGTATATATCTATATAACTAGTGTATATATCTAAATATCTAGTGTATATATCTATATATCTAGTGTATATATCTATATATCTAGTGTATATATCTATATATCTAGTGTATATATCTATATATCTAGTGTATATATCTATATATCTAGTGTATATATCTATATATCTAGTGTATATATCTATATATCTAGTGTATATATCTATATATCTAGTGTATATATCTATATATCTAGTGTATATATCTATATAACTAGTGTATATATCTATATAACTAGTGTATATATCTATATAACTAGTGTATATATCTAAATATCTAGTGTATATATCTATATATCTAGTGTATATATCTATATATCTAGTGTATATATCTATATATCTAGTGTATATATCTATATATCTAGTGTATATATCTATATATCTAGTGTATATATCTATATAACTAGTGTATACATCTATATTACTAGTGTATAAAAAAACTTAATGGTTTTATTTATCTTATTTTTTTTAGAATAATTGACATGGTGAATGTTCATTTATCTCACGATGCTTGTAATGTTTCTGTTTCAATGAAGGTTTGCTTGTTCATATTTTTGTAATAAAAAAAATTTAGAAAAATTGGGTTAATATTCAAGAATTATTTTTAGTTGTTTCCTCTGATAATGTCATTAACGTAGTTACATCATGTGCATCAATAGTTGATGTTGCAGATATTTTTTTTTCAAACTATTTTTGTATGATTAAAAGACATAAAAAATCTTTAGTATGCTTCAAGAGTAGGCTTAAAAGATATAAAAAATCTTTAGTATGCTTCAAGAGTAGGCACAAAAGATATAAAAAATTTTTAGTATGCTTCAAGAGTAGGCTTAAAAGATATAAAAAATCTTTAGTATGCTTCAAGAGTAGGCTTGAAAGATATAAAAAATCTTTAGTATGCTTCAAGAGTAGGCACAAAAGATATAAAAAATATTAGGATAGATATAAAAAACATATAAAAAACATTAAGATAGATATAAAAAATATTAGGTATACTTCACGAGTATTAAAACTCGTGATATACCTAAACTGAAACTCCTGTATTTTTTTTATATCTTAAAAGATATTAAAAAAATACAGGAGTTTCAGTTTCTTAAATTCTTTTAGTACTTTTTTTTATTTTTAAGTTCCTAAAGTTTTCCTATGTTAACTTTAAATTTTAAAGCTTTCCTATGTTAACTTCAAGTTTATTTTAACTTGTTTTCAGATTTAGTACTTAAATTTGTTCATGTTGATTTTAGTTGGACAACCTTCTATCTTCATATCTATATAATATATATTGTTAATATAGTGATTTTTATTTATTACTTGCTTTAATCTAATTATTTATGTTGGTGTTTTTAAAACTGGTTTTCTTTGTTCACTAGTTTTACAAGCATTTCGATATGTAGACAACCAATCATGTAGATAACCAATTGTCAACCGTTTCTTCATTTCAGCATATACAACATTTTAACAGTTTAAAATCTTTTTCATTCATTTTTAAAAATCTTTTTTTATAATATGACTTAGGTACCTTATCATTTTTTCTTTTTATACTATCAAATCTAACATATTTTTGTAATAGTTCAAGTTGAACAAGTATGACTTCACAAATGCTTAAAAATAGATTATCAACTTAATTTATTATCAAAGAATTTAGAGGTTTTTATTTAATAAAAACTTAAATTAAGCATAAATTTGTGTTGCATAATAATTTAGTAAATTTTAATAAAATCTCTCGCAATAAACATTTTGTATATTTTCTCAATTGTCTTAATTGACACTGTTATCATAAAAAAGGTTTATCTCTTCATAATAAATCCATAATACCATATTAAGTATCTAGTTAATTATCATCAAATATTATTAACTATCATAGTCACCTAATATTATCAATTTATAATTTATGCATAAACATTATTTTTGTTTTATTAATTGTATAAAGTTCTAACATTGTTACTTTAGTCTGTGTCAAAGTATTCAAAGTACAGAAAACGAGCCTTGGTTTATACATTAGAACAGTTCAGTTAAATTTTTTTATTTATAAAATAGTTTTTCTTTATTTATAATTTTAATACAGTTTTTTAATTGAAATTTTTTATAAAACTTACATGACATTGCAAATAGTTTTTACATGTAGTTTTTACATGAATACAGAAAACATTTTTTATTTGTTATTTTACCGGTCCACTGTAAACAGTTTTTACTTGTTATTTTTATAAAACTTGTATTTCTTTTTAGACTTCATACATTACCTTCGTATCATCATTTGTTGTATGGAGACTTCAATGTTCGTCCTGAAACTAAAGAACTTATTGAGGTAAATTTGAATGTTTGTTATCAAAACTAATGACTTGTTGAGTTATTAAATTTGATAATTATTAAATACCTTGTATTAATGTTTTTTTTTATTTATTTTACCTATTTCTTTCTTTTTTTATTGTCTAGCACATAATGAAGAACAAAGGAAATCAGGTGATTAATCATATTCACACCAACAATAATAACAACAATAAAAAAGATGGTAAACCATACAAAGTTGTTTATCAATCTTTGAATGGATCAAAGAAGGTATTTCACTTAAATCTTAAAATCTTTAAAAATGTTTTTTTAAATGAGTTTATTTGAGTGTTTATCAAAAGTGTATTTTATTAAGGTACTATGGGTTGTTTTCCTTCCTCTATTTGCATTTCTTTTTTTTCTTTTTTTCTTTTTTTTTTTTTTCTGTGTCTTTTTGATGATAACATTAAAAATTGATATATTCCGAAAATAAAATTTAAGATCATAAAAATTTAATTTTGATTTTTATACAATGCAGAGTGGGTAAAAAAAATTTATTTACTAGAAGTGGTAAAAGTGTGATTATGTATTGTTTTTCTAGATGTGCAAGCAAAATGGATCATACGTACATAAAAAATAATAAAATTAGTTTAAATTTTTTTTTTGTGATTGCTATGGTAACTATTGGTTACCTCATTTTTCATCTTAAAAACTTCTTGAGCAAATAAGAGATTTTGTAGCCATAAATAAAAGTTATATGTAGTGTTTGAATCATAGGATATCATGGGAACAGATTTACTTAGAGCAAAAAAGTTTTAATCTAGGACATTCAACAAAATGAACTGAATTTCATAACATTCCACAATGTAGGACACTCCATTTTAAAGTAATTTATAGAAGACAATTTTAAAATTAAGTTTAGGTCGTATGGTAAAAAAAATAATTATTTTTTATAGTAGAAAAAAATTTTTTTTTAATAAAATGGTTAAAGCTTTATTTATAGTTTTTTAAACTTGATGTTTTTTAAAATGATAAATCAAAAATTAAAAAATATATTTTTTTGAATGGAATATATATTTCATTTATAAAAAACTAATCTAAAGGCAATATTTAAATAGTAAATGTGTTTTCTTGAAAAAATTATTTTAAAATAAAATATGACTTATGTTGAGTTTTTTTAAAGTTTGCTGTTTTCAAAGTTTTAATGCTTGAAATATTTTATATGGTTTTGCAACTCTTTGAACCAACTTTAATAACAATAACCTATTTCGGTAATAGTTTGTTTTTAATTTGAATCTAATTAGTTTATTAATAAAAATATTTAAATAAATGAGTTTATTAATAATAATGTTTAAATAAACTATTCTATTAAAAAATTTAAATTTTTTCTTTTAAGTTGGAGAAAGTTTTGAGCTGTATTAAATATATAAATATCGAATCAAATTTTTTTTTTCACTTTACATTTGGGGGTTCAAATGAGAAAACAATTTCATTCTATTCTTAAATTTGGAAAGAAATATGCAAGTTGATCAGTATTTATATAAATGCTTAAAGTTGATCAGAAGTTAAATGCTTAATTAAAAAGAAGTTAGCTTAAATGCTTAACTAAAAAGTCACTTTTTATTAAGTTAAGCTTACCTTGCTTCCAAGCTTTCTTTTTATGCTTTTTTGCTGTCAGTGTCTTTTGAGTATTTCAAGTTTAATAAGATATTTTCTTATAATGTGTACATGTTTTTTGTTTTGTTTTTATATCAACGTGTTGATGCAAAACATTTATTGCAAAGTTGCATCAAGCATAGATGAGTTTTTTCCGGGAATTCCCGGATTTCCGGAAATTCACTTTATTTTTCCAGAAATTTCAGTTTTTTTTTATTAATTTGTTTTTAAAAAATTATATATTTTTACATAAAATTAAAAAAAAAAACTTTTGCATTTAAACAAATATGTTTTCTATAGTTTAAAATTTTACTAGATCAATTTTTATAACAATTTTTTTTTTTTTTTTTTTTTTTTGCTTTTTAATTTATTCAAATTAACTTTATCGAATATTAAAAATTCCTTTTTGTAAAAAGTTAAATAATCTTAATTCCGTTTTTGTTTTCAGTCAATAGGAACAATTTTTAATAAAATAATTTTCCAGAATTTTCATTAAAAAAAAATTGCGGGATTTTCATGAAGTCAAATACTCATCTATGAGCAAGCAATTAATTAGATTTGTTTGTTAAATTTTTTTTGAATTTCATTTTGAATAGCCTAAATAACTGCAACATTAAGGGTTGTTTGCAGGTGAGTAAACTTTGAAGCTACTTATACAATAAATGCTAATGTTGATGTAGATTCAGAAGACAGTGAACAAGATAATGTATTTGTTACTGGAGCTAATGGTGGCAGTAGAATAGATTCTAGTGGTTAAAGTGAAAAAAGTTGTAGGTTAAGATAAAACTGTTTCAAACATATTAGCAATTTGAAATTTTGACTGATTTTATAAATGTCAAGCAAAAAAAAACTAGTATTTTGAAATTAAGTGGTTATTGTATGCATGTAAAAACTTCACCTGAACTAAATAGTTTTGCTTGTAGTTGGCTCAAGTATTTTTTAACATGTGTCAATGGTCTATCTGCGACTAAAACATGAATACCTATATACTATATCTAGATTAATATTAAATTTTTTTGATTAAATAATTAACTGATTAAATTAGAAATTTAAACTGTAACTTGAAATTTTTTTAATGCCAGCTACATTTACGTCAATGAGCCACTGCATGAATTTTTTTATCTTCTGTCTATCCATTTGGAGATGTTGCATTTTCAGCATAAGCACCATTTAAGCAGTGGCCTTCAAATTTTTGCACTTAAGCCTTAGTTGATTTTTTAAATTGTTTTTAATCAGTTTCAATATTTGTTTAGTACTGTAAGCTATGAAGCAACACAACTGCAAGTTATGAAGCTGTCTGAACTCTCCTCTGTGGTTTTATCCTTTTTGTACAGTTGTTGTTTCTAATTGTAATCATTTTTTTCATCTTTTTTACAAGAAGAACTCTCTATAGAACAAATATCCTTTTATTATTGAAAGAAATTGCTGTAAAATGGTGCTGTCTGCTGTATTATCTGATGTACTGTCTAATGCACTGTCTGATGCACTGTCTGGTGTTAAGGTCAATTATTCTTATATTGCTAAATTTTGTATTTCAGAAATACAAATACTTGAGACTTTTAAAAAATCTTTAACAACTTAATCTTTAACAAAAAATTCAGTGTGTACATCTGATGCAATAAATGGGTCAGATGTACACACTAGTCGATTTAACAAATTTTGGTTAGTTTTCACACTAGATGATTTTCTTGCAAAATGTTCACTATAGTTTTGAAGTCTTTATTGCGTGCTTCTTCAGAATGCATACCAATGGGTTATGCTAAAGTTTTAATAATTTCAGAACCATGGATTAAAGTTTTGTGGAGAGATTGTGGCATATAGTACCAAGGATAATGATAAACATAAGTTTTCAAACAGAAAGCCTCAAATTTATCAGTGTCAATGTCTAAACCACATAAAATTGTTGCCAATATAATATGCAAATTTAGAATCAGTTCAAAATTAATATTTAAAATTTTTGCAAACTTTTCCAAAATGCTCTTCAAGCAGTATTTCCATCATTTTTATGTTCCACTACCACCAGATTTCATAACATCAACTATCAAGCCCATTTTATCTTTAAATCTATTTTGAATTTGTTGTTTTAGAGCTTTTACTTTAGATTTATCTTCTACTGTTCTTGCCTGCCATTTTTTCAAAGTTATTTTATATCCAATATGTAATAAACATTCAAAAAAATGTATCCAAGCATATAAGGATGATAAACCAAATGAATAACTGCCTGTCATACCCATTTTCAAAACCATTTTTTTGATATCATTTATTTCTTTGGGACTTGCGCCACATAGTACAGCATTGACTAGTAATTTGTATTATATGGTGTATTTTGATTTTTTTATTATTTATATCAACTTCAGTATCTTGCAAGTTGAAATCTCAAGCCTAATGAGATCCTCTTCTGATTTAGAAACTGCTGCCATTTCTTTTTCAAATTTAAAACACAGAGGTCTACAGTACATTGTTGATGATGGTCGTGGATTTCGCCAAGCTGGGTACCGTTTTCCATTTGAAAAGCCACCCAAGTCCAATGGCACTAGGCAAGTAATAAAAAGTGCCTGCTCATTGTTTAAATTTCTTGTTACTGTTCTTTGCGATATTTGTTTATATATGGATTGTCCTGTGGCACCATCGAAGCCTATTTTTTATCTCAGAGAAAGTCTATCTGGAGTGCCTTCAGTGCTAAGGACATCATACTGTGTCTTGCATATTCTATTTGCTCTACAACCCACCAAAGCTTGCAGTTTTATTTCAGCATGACAGTTTTACATCCCAAACATCATTATATAAAGGATATAAATCAACTCCCTCTTCAACTGCTTGATTTCGAATAATTTGGTAGGAAGCTTTTGTCAATCTAGCATCTAAAAGAAGATAAAGTGCTTTATCTTAAAACATTCTACAATCTTTTTTTGAGATTTTTTCAATTGGGTTTGGAGCCATGCTGCTATATGACTTGCGCCACTTATCATATAGATGAGTTATTATAGTTTCTAATTGCTGCTTGTTGCAATCTAAATTCATAGCATCAATAAGTTTATCCACAATACCAGATAATAATAAAAATGCATAATGAATGCATAGATATTAAAATATATCATTTTCAGCCTACAAATACAAAAAAAATATTATTCATGAGACAGTTGGACAACTAGACATGAAGCAAGCTCCAATTATTTGTATTTTCATTTAAATGTGACAAAAAAGATGTTTTGCTAAAATATTGTAATGATTGGAGCCTGGGAACACAAAAAAAAGCTAGAATGTTGGCCCCCGACGCAGCCGACAATAGGTAAAATATATATTGATAATGTACATATTGGGCAACATATTTCCAGTCTCAAATTTCTAGAGCACCTTGGACCGCAAAAGTGTTTCATTATTTAAGTGAAATTTTCACTAAAAAAAGTACTTTAAATACGCCATCATTAGAAATCAATTTATTTGATATAGCTTATGTGCAAAATAATTTTGCAATAGCTCATTTGATAGATAATACTTTAAGGTTTATTTAGTTATGTAATAAAAAATTTTAAAAATTGATAACAACTTTATGCTTATTAGTAACACAAAAAATATTATTAAACAGAAATATCTACATTTTATAAAAGCCAAATGTTTAAGCTATATAAAATGTATATAACAATGAGATTTTTGAGAATATTTTTTTATACTTTTTTCCACCATCTGGCCCACTGTGCACTGTTAAACATCCAAATCACTCCTGCTTCTGTTGCTAACATTCTACAGCTTGTGGTCCAGATGTTTCTGTCAAAGTCTTAAAAAAACTTTAAAGATCGTTTAGACCCCTTAATATTATAAGCAAAGTTTTTTAATTTTAAATTTAAAAATTTATGTATTATCTTGAGTTTAACAGCTTCTAACAATCAAAATGGATTTTGATCTCCTTATTACATGCAATGAAATAAAATATTACAGGGCAAAAAAGTTTTTTGCATCTCTGGCAGGGATCAGGACAAGTACTGGACACTGCATTTCATATGTAAATTTTGGAATAGAACTCATGATTTCAATTATTCAAATACATGTAGTTCATCTTTAGAAGTTGCAATTAATAAAATTTCTATATATATTGGTGAAGTATAGAAAATATGTTATAATGAGTGATTTTTTGTCTTTTTGTATAATTAGTAATATGACTTTTGCTACAGCATAGTACAGGGAAGAAAGGATAGCGATGATATTTGCTATTTTGAAAATTTAGCGATAACCGACGGGCTATTCAAGCAACTTCTGCATTGTTGCTTAGGCACAAGTGCTCCTTAAGTCCTTAATCCAGAAATAAATTTATCTTTTATGACCATACTACACAACCTGGAGCTATTTGTTCCCATTTCTCTTAAGAGGGGTCATCCATCTTCAGAAGAAAGCAGCAAATCAGACTGTGAGGATTTTGAGTAGAGAAGGTCATACCAGATGACTTCCTAACCAGAAATATGTCAACAGATCTGGGTATTACCAAGTTTTCATGGCTTCCTGGGTAATCACAAAGCTGCAAGCTATGTAGAGTTGATTCAGATTTTCATAAAGAATTATGCCAAGATTGTGATGCAGAATGTCAATCAAAGTTTATATCTTTAAACTCATCTGGATTAATTCAGGGAGAACATGAAGCTAAGTTGTATCTATTATAGACTTTAAATATTTTTTGAAGAAAAGTTTTGCAAAAACATCATGTGACTACTTTTGAGGCCTACTTTGGGAATACGATTTATAGTAAACTCAAAAATCTGAGGCTTTTTGAGAGATTTTTTTAAATAATTATGTAATTGTTGTTTCTTAGTAAAGCAAATGAACAAAAATATGAAGTTTTTTTTGTTGTTTTAAAATCACTTTTTTTTTTGCTTTGGTCATAACATCAAAGTTTTTACTTAATTTAGTTTCCTACAGTCATTAGGCATAACCAACTAAAATATAACATATTGAATCCAAAGATAAAGTTGTTTTCTTTGGTGTTAATATTTATGCTTTTGAATAATTTTTGCTTTTTGTAATAATTTTTAACTTGTTGATTGCTAGACCATCCAAATATTCGAGCTTTTCAACTATTCAAATATCAAATAGAAAAATCTTAAAATATTCGAGTTATCGAATACTCGAATAATTTATCAAAAGTATAAAGACATATTAACAAAAAGAAAAATTGTTATATTTTAATAAAGAAAAGCGTTTAGTTTTGAACTATTTTATTATTTAAAACATTTTTTTTCTAAAAATATTTTAAAAATAAAATTGAATTAAATGTTTCATGATTTAAACTGGTTCGTCTTTTTGTTTTGATTGCGCCTGCTGTTGAGAATACTCTTTCAGAAGCTGTTGAAGTAGGCCGTATTATTATAAGAGCATTATACAAAACATCCAGCGTATCCGATCGTTTTTTGAAAGAATCAAACTGATGAAATGCTTTCTTTAGTTCATTATATTTATCAATTTGCCTGGTATTGCGAACATGACAGTTTTTTGGAGCTGTAATAGAACTTATTGCATTTTGGAGTTCTTTTTGCAGTCCAACTTGTGGTGTTAATTCTATTAAATCATCTCCATCAGATGAAGATGAGGTAGAATCACTATTAATATGCTCTTCTATGAACATTTGTGGATATATTTGTTCCATAATTTTAACAGCAAATGAAATTGCTGCATTTTTTGACGAATATTTAAAATAATCGTTGGAACTTGGTATATTTCCTCTCTGTAGGTAAATGATTAGTGTCATTAAAACTGGATCTCTTCTTTCATCCATCCTTTTTTGGATAGCATATATAAGTTTTTTTTGCTATATCTTTTTGCATTGGTTTTCAAACAAAAATTTGTCTACTCCTTCAGCTGTTATGAGATTTGCATCATTTTTACTCAATTCAGTAACAGCAGTTTCAGCTGGTGCGAGAACATCAACAAGGTTTTGTAGCGCACAAATATCATTTTCAGCAATTGGATCAAAATTCAATTCGATTAAGGATTTGTTAATAATTCTGATAGAATTAAAAAACGTCGAATCATTACACTCAAAGAACTCCATCGAGTTTTCATGTCTAATTTTGACTTAAGTTTTTTTCCCATTTTTTGAGCTATATTTTGTTGCAAAATAGAATGCTTTGTAGCCAATTTTTTAAACATTCTTATAACACCTCTTAACCTGTTAAAAATTTGGTCAAAATCAATGTCCAATGTCATTACATTTTCATTTTCGTTAATAAACTCCAAATTGTATTCAGAGCACTGATCTTCTATGGAATCTTCTTCCATTTCTTCATCAGCAAACTCTTCGGTATCGTCAAACACTTCATTGGGAATAACATTTTTTATATAAAAACAATCCATGACAGCTAAATGGAGCACGTGATTATGGCAAAGTTGATTTAATACACCTAATATATTGCCATATTTTTTCATTACGGCTGTTGCGTTGTTAGTTGATGCAATAACATCATTTTTTAAGAGAATCCCAAAGTCTGCCAACTTAGCTTCAACTAAATGTTTAGTTATTTCAGCATTTCCCTGCTTAATTATTTCCGTCAAACCCAAAACATGGCTTTCAATTGTATTTGAGTTTATTCCAAATACATGAGCTGTTAGGTTTACATAACGTAAAATAGTGCAATCTGTCCATTCATCCACTGTAATAGAAAATTCACAATTTGCTGTTTTTAATTTTTGAAATTTGTCCCGCAGTTCAATAAATTTTTCTTTATAAAAGCTGTTGATGCATTTTGAAATAGTTGTCGGACTTTTTGACATTTTATAACCTTTTTGTTGCACGTAACCAGCTATAGCTTGAGATTTACTAATTGCCGTGATCGCCATTCCATCAACAGCTGCGACTTTTGACAAAATTTCATTTAAAGATTCTTTTTTTACAAATTGCCAAATAGTACTTGTTTCAGTTTTTTGTTTTTTCTAAGGAATATTATTTTCTCCATCAATTTCACTTGATACCGATTTAGATATCAATATGTTGTGCCGTAGCTTTTCCATCCAATGTTCGTGTTGCACGTACCACATGTGGCTTCACCAAATTTTTTTTCATCTTTCTTAAAAAACTTCCATACCTCGGATTTTTTTGACATGGCTAAAAAACCAAAGATGTAAATATGTATGTTAGAAAATCTAACACATTTTAATTTACCTGAAGTATTATTATTATTCTTATTATAATTATTATTATTATTATAGAAGTATGCAAGCACAAATTGTATTATTAAAAATTATTGATTATATTGTTTTTATTATTTTAAATAAAATGAATTTTTACAATAAAATTTACGAATATTTGCTAAGCAATTTAAATAACCGACTGCTTTCTAATTACTAACAAAAATAATGTCGCACAAAATTAAAACCATACAAAAATGCAATTTTCCCACGTCAAGGCTATATTTTATATAAAAATTCTTAGATTTGTTTTTTATTTCAGGGTTTATTTGTTTTTTCTTGTATAAAGAGAGAAATAAACCGTACTTTTTTCAAAGCTTACTGTGATTTACATTTTTGAAATTATTCGAATATTTGGAAAAAATATTCGAATATCAAATAGTCAAAAAACATGCAAATATATTCGAATATCAAGTATTTGAATAGTCAAGTTAGATGGTCTATTGATTGCTGATATATTTAAATAAAATGTAATATTTGATGATAATAATAAAATAATAGGTTGCATAAAAATGTTATGTTGTATGTAAAAAACTTTAGGATCTTTTAATAATTGAAGATCGCTTGTTCATTCTGCATGATTATGATGATTTTGCTCATGACAAAATAGAAAGTTTGCTTCAGTTTGATAAAGAACTTGATTGGTTAAAAAATGACTCTTTTAAAGAAATGCAATTGAACTTTATTCCGACGTAAGTAATAAGTTTTAAATTTTTTTTGTAATCATTTGAAACATGAAAATCTAGTTCTTCAACAAATTAATATAGATATCCTCATGTAGAAGATCCTTATATAGAAGATTATCTTGTCAAAGATCCTTATATTGAAAATCATCATGTAGAAGGTTCAAAGGAAATCTCATTTAAACATACTTTTGGAAATGTAAGGTATGAGATTTTTGTGAGTGATATTGTTATATATGAATTTTGATTTTTATCTATTACATTTCTAATCAACCAACTAAATTTAATAAAAAATGTGCCATGAGAAGGTTATTGTTTTTTGTTTTCAATTGTATGATGTTTTGAAAATAAAAATTCTAAAAAACAATTACATTTAACATAGGCTTTGGTTACTTGCATGTTCATTGATAAAGGTCTGCTTGCTTGCAGTCAGCTTAATATGTTAAGTATTAATATTTGGAGTGATATTTTTTATAGGTGTCCATCTTGGTGTGATAGAATTTTGGCTGATAATTCTTTTTTTGAAAAATATATTAGTGTAAGAAATTTTTACTCATTATTTTATTAAATAAAAATTTATATTTTTTGTGGTGTTAATGAGAAGATTTATATATATATATATATATATATATATATATATATATATATATATATATATATATATATATATATATATATATATATATATATATATATATATATATATATATATATATTATATATATATATATATATATATATATATATATACTTTTTAGTGTTCAAGTGTCTACAATATATTTGGTGAACATGTGATATTGGGCGATCATAAGGTAAGTTTTATTTAAAATATTTTTCAAAGGGTTGGGAGGTTGTTTTTTTTTTCTTTCTAGGTGGCATTAAGGTATTAACAAAATTTGTAGTTTAAAATAAAATTTTTATTTCAAAGTTACAATATTTTCTATTTGCATTCTAATGTGGTAGTAGACCGCATTAAAATAGACAGTTGAGGTTCAAATCCACTCTATGCATTTAGAAATACTGCGCTCAACAGCTCACTGCGGCTTTATTCCTTTTTCAGAGTTTAGAGTTATAAATGAATTACAAATAAAACAAAATTAAAAGTATATATATACACAATGGACCAAAGAGATCTCTAGGTTTTATGTTGAGTCAGTTAAACGAAACCTTTTTTATTTAAGAGTATTTGTTTTACAATAATAAAAAAAAATTTAAAATAAAATCTAAACAATGTACTTGAGGGATCATAATGTGGCAAAAAATTGAGGTGTTTCAAACCCATGTCAGAATTTTTTGTTATTTTTTTGTTTGTTTTTCTCTTATTTAAATCTTTAAAATATGGATTTATAAAAATTTTAAAAATTTTAACTTTAAACTTTTAATTTTAAACTTATTAACTATAAAATATTAACCTTCAATATTCAGGACCTTCAGCATCCATTAAAAATTATAAAACCTTTGTTTTGTTTTTTATTTTTGTATCAAATTTAAATAAATAAGTTTTTAAACAATAATAAACATTAAAAATATTCAAAATAAAAATTTTACCAACATATGGAACTTAATTTAGTTTTCTAGTTTTTTAAGTCAGGTTAGGATTCAGATCATCATAGTCACCATGGTAACATAAAATTCATTACAACCTGCTTTATGTCCTACTGGTAGGAAAAATTAATCTAAAATACCTCCTGGGCAAATATTATTTGCATCCGGCTGGTGTTTTGTAAAGGTCTTCTTAAGCAAATACTTTAGAGGCAGAAAATCTCTATTAACCAGCTTTATGCTCCTTTTTTATCTAATAGGTTAATGTAGATCTAAACCTGTATCACATTGTTGTATGATATATAACCTGGATCTTCTTGACTTTACTCAATAAACTAGTAACTTTGCAATTTTCTGTTATCACCTAATGAGGGTATGGCCCTAAAGCTTATTTTAATGGTTCTTAGACCAACTGGTAGTAAGGTTTACAAAACTCTGTGGTAGCTCTCAGAGTAGTTAATTCCATCTACAACTGTAAAATTACATAGTATAAATGTTGGATGTTGTTTATGGCAAGTATTCCTATTAGTGCTTTTGATGTGCACTGTTAAGACCGCAAATGTTAGGACTTTTGTTAGGACTTAAGATTGATTAGCAGAAATAAGATGTCCAGATTTTTAGGGTTTCATGCACTATCCATGATTGATTCATGTTTTTAATTATTAAAAACATAAATAAAGTATCTATAAAAAGTAATAAAGAAAATCCATCATCATTACCTAATTGTTTTTATCTTTCCTTTACAAATATTTACGGTCTTTCAAGTATTTTTTCATTTATTACTTTTATATCTTATCTTTTGCAAAACTTACAAGACCTTCTTGCTCTTTGTGTGAATAATTGAAAAATGTTTAAATAATACTGCTCCCCAAGACTGCACTCTTTTCAGTATTGTTTCTTATCAAATTGAACAAGTTCTTTCTTTTTATTTTCGGACAATATTGTTATTATTGGTAACTTTCATGCTCATCACACTGAATGGCTCTTATACCACTGGTTTAATGCTCAAATTTTTAACTTTCTTGATATCTTATTTAAATAGTTTATTTAGTGGTTTGCCCTAATCACTTATTTTCACTACTTGCTTTGTGTCTCGCCTCTGACTCTAGCTTGAGCTAAGTTTCAGCTTTAAGTGGTTTAGATCATGCTATGATCTCACTAAAACTTTTATTACTTCTGCATCAAATTCAGCCATTGCACTTCCTAATACTACCTTAAAGCTGATTCATTTCTTTATTTTCTTTGTGATTGTTTTTTGAGTTATTATCTTTTCTCTTTCTGCTGACAGTTGTTGCCACTTTTATTATTTCCTGGATTCAAGTAGGCATAGATGCTTTTGTTCATCCTCATTGGTTTGTTAGGACCTCACTCTACCCCATGGTTTTATGTTTCTTAGTTATTGCTCCAAAAGGCTATTGCTTTTGATATAGCAACAGCCAGTTGATTTAGCTTTTGATTTAGTCAGGTTTTCTGGTCTTCTCCATAAGTTTTATATGGTGTGTCTTGAAAAGTTTTTAAATTTATTGAATTATTCCTTTTTACTTCCAGTATTTTTTATTTATTGAATCATTCCTTTTTACTTCCAGTATTTTTTAATTTATTGAATCATTCCTTTTTACTTCCAGTATTTTTTAATTTATTGAATCATTCCTTTTTACTTCCAGTATTAAAGTTTTACTTACAGTATTAAAGTTTTACTTCCAGTATTAAAGTTTTAGTAAAATTTTTCTACAGATTTCATCTCCTTAAATGTTTTATTTCTTTGACACTGGTGCTTTGGAATTCTCTCTATCTTTATATTTTTTTGACACATTCAGTTTACAGTTTTAAAAGTTTTCTTTTTCTTTCTTGCAATATAATTCTTTGTTTTCTTAACTTAATTTAGTTGTTGTAGCCTTATTAGAGGTTAAATTGTTAAAAGCAAAAAAAGCTTTTTCTTGTGATTGTTATATTAATATATAGCAATATATTTCTTCTTTGTTTCTGCTTTTTTTTTTTTTTTTTTTTTTTTTTTTGACCTTTAACTTGTTCAATTTTTTTTTTTTTTTTTTGTATCTTTAACTTAATTAGTTGCTTAATTAAATTAAATTAGTGTAGAATTATTTAAAGTGATTTGTTGAAAAAAGAAATTAAAGTTTATAAATTTTCAGAAAAATCACATTCATGAAATGTTTCATCTTAGAATTGAAGTTTACTTCTTCCATGTCTTCAACTATTGAAAGAATCTGACAGCGGTGTTTGATACAAATTAACTGAAGTAGTATTTTTATTAAATACAAAAAAATCTACAATAACTCATAAACATGAAACCACCTCTTTTATCTAGAAATTTGAACAAAGCTGGTTTTTAAAATCCATAATAAATTTGAATGTATCTTGAACCAAAGTATTTTGTAGTTCTATCAATACTATCAATTTGAACCAGGAGATAGTTGTAATCTTTAAAAAAAAACTGTTAATGCTTTACCTTTTTTAGTATTTTCAATACTAAAAGATATCTAAGTGCTTCTTTTCTACTTGATAAAAATGTAATATAGACTTTTATTCTCCATCATGTTATTTTATACTGCAGAGTTGTTTCTTATTTCTTTCCAAAGAGTAGATATCAATAAACCTGTTTTACTCAAAGAAAGTTCTAGAGCTGTTTGAAATTTCTTAAACAATTGAAGACACTCTTGTTTGATTGACTTGGGTAAATGAATATGTGCATGTATTATACATACTATGTTTATATGTGTGTGCTCATACATGATGACAATACAAAAGTGTAGAAAATTAAGTTCATTAAAAAAGTTGAAAGTTAAGTTTTTTTAAGGTTTTATGTTCTCGCTTCCACTTGTTGGAATTTAATGCTTTCAATAGTATCATTTCTTAATTAAAATTGAAAATCTGATACAAATTTGGGGTATTCTTTAAATATTTCATAAGACCTACAAACAAAAAATTCACATCTTTTAGTCAAATTTTTATAATCAAGTTTCAATTTTAATCAATCAATTTAAGAATTAATCCATTTAAGAATTAATCAATTTAAGAATCGGGCTTTTATTTTCAAAGTCATAAAACGCTCAAGTTGTTATATGTTATGTTACATGTTACTTTTACTTATATTACTTTTGTAAAACAAAAAAAATGTTTTCTGACTTAGCTTGTCTTTTGAGCTTGTGTATAACATATTTCTAGCTTTTTCTTCTCTCAACTAGGTAGTAAAATATTCACAAAAACAAAGAATAAAATTTTTTATATTTTTAATTGTTATTTTTGTAGAGTGTTTTATAGAAACAAAGATTTTTAATGTGTAAAGATTGCATACAAAGACGATTATAGCGGGAGGGTGTGGAGGGGTGTTCCATCCCCCTTCAATGAAGGTGATTTTCAAGTTATAGTCAGTTTTTTGATGAATTTATTTGACTAGTCAGGTATTTCTACACAATTTAGTAGGGTGAATTTTAGTTTTGAGGACCTTTTTTTTTTAAGGAATCAGTCTACTTTTTAAAGGTTCACCCTCCCCTTTTCATTTTATTTGTAGAATCGCCTATGATTGCATATAAAAAAATTTTTAAAAATAGAAATATTTTTATGGATTAAGATCGCATTTAAAACATTTTTATAAAAAGTACATGTTATAAATGCACCAGGTGTGTTAGATTATAATAATTTATCTAAAAATGAAATTAGAAAATACATTTGATCTGAATATTCAGGTATGATACTTATAAAACACAGACATGCACACAAATCGCCCACTTGACAGTAGTTGTTGAAAAATACGGTATATATTTAAATCATTTTAAAGTATAGCATAATTTTTTAATTTATTGATTTATTAAGTTAAAATTGCCCTAGCAAGGTTGTGGTGAGTGAGATTCAAGTCTTAAAAGCACTTATTTAAACATGGTAGAATTTATAACCTTGAAATCATTAGTTCTTAGTTTTTATTGCTTACTATATTTTTAAACAGTTCAAATTTAGCACAAAAAGAAATTTTACTTTTTGTCTTTCATTAAACAATAACGTTTTTAATGTTAAGAAAAAATTTTAAAAAATAAAAAAAAAAGTAAAAATTTGAAAACAATTTATTATAGTTTCTACTTAGAGTTATTATAATAAAAAGACTTAACAAAATACCGAGAAAAGTGTTTTTCAAATGGAGCTTTCTAAAATTTTTATAATCTGCTTCACATTATTTTACCATAAAATTTTCCTTAACAACTGCCTAAATAAGATATAAAATTTTACCCATTAAATATAAAATAACTTCTTTTTTAAAAAAAACTTTTTTTGAAAATTTGCAGAAATTTTTTGGAAAATTTCCCGTGTTGAAAATTTCCGGGAAATTTTCAACCTTACTTAAAAATATATATATATATATATTTTTAAGTAAGGTTGAAAGCAAATATATATATATATATATTTTTTTGAGGTCATAGTTAAGTTTAAAGTGTTTTAAAAAACGTCAACCGCTAAAGCTCCTTTAATTTGTTTGCGAAAGAAATCATCTAAACTGGACCGTGTGTGTGAATCAAGAATTAAATAAAATAAAGTGGGACTTAAAAATATAAATCAACAAGGTTTTTGTGTGTATGTGTATATATATATATATATATATATATATATATATGTATATATATATATATATATATATATATATATATATATATATATATATATATATATATATATATATATATATATATATATATATATATATATCTGTGTGTGTGTGTGTGTGTGTGTGTGTGTGTGTGTGTGTGTGTGTGTGTGTGTGTGTGTGTGTGTGTGTGTGTGTGTGTGTGTAGTTTATTTTAAGGATTTTAAAATATATTAAAAGCAATAAGGGGGAAAGTCAAACATTTATGTATTATGTATATGTGTGTATATGTATATGTTAATAGAAACGCAACCAAGGGAAAAGAGTTTTAGTTTGTTTTATTTGTGTTTATATTTGTTTTTTAAACTTATTCCTTTTAGTGTAAAAAAATATTAATTGCATACTTTTTATTTGTTTTTTTTTTTAGCCAGTTTACATGGCTTTTGAATTTCCGTTTGGTTTGCTGGCGGACCAGTAGTTTTAGTTGTATTGTTATTGGTTCACATGCATTAACAATTCATTTACCTTTCACTGTTGACGTTGTTGGTGCTATTGACATTTAACCCTTGTGAGTTAAAGTCGTTTAAAGTCGATTTTATCTAAAATCCATGAACTCCTTAATTTACCGGATTTTTTTAAAATTTTAAATTGTATATTAGTATATTTATTGTGTATTTTAAATATTTTTTAAACTTATTCTTTATGGTGTGAAAAGGTTAATCCACTCATTTGTTTTTTAAATTTTACTGTAAAAATATGCTCAATATTTATAATGTTCTGTACTGCTACGCTACAACAATAAAGCTAAAAGTTAAAAAAATAAATTAGTTTTCAAAAAAATATATTTCGTTCGAAAACTGAATATTTCTTCTAAACAATACTTTTTAAACACTTAGATACACACTCGCTTTACAGTTATCTAAACAAAAACTTTTATGTTTTAATGTATTATAACGCACTTTTACATTGAACTATTGTACAATTGTAATCTATTTAACGTGAAAAAGATAATTCTTTTTTTTTTTTTGATAAACTGCCTTTTAAAAGTATTGTCGATCCGGGTTGCTTGAGTTTTTGAGGTTACATGACGCGATGGGGCCACCCTAACCCCAGTCAAAATGTTGTGGAACTTTAGTTTTACTTTAATTATATATTGTTGTAGATTTTTAATAAAATACCTTCTTCCTATAGTGTCCATATGGAGCAGAAGTGGTATTGCATCTAGTGATTGCATAAAAATAAAACAACACAAATTACCAAATGATCCTTGAATAGTCATAAAAATACATTTCCTGTTTGATATGGTTAAAGGAGAATTTTTAAACAAAAACATTAACTTAGATACAGATATAGATTCCTTTGCTTCTGAAGTCGATAATTGTGTCGATATAACATGTATATCATAATAATAATTATGTCGATAATTATGTCGAGCAACATGTATGTAATCAGTGTCTAATGTAAACAAGAAATTGTAACGAAACATTTTTAAAAATTCTGACAAATGTTCTTTAAACATTTATAGGAAAGAGAATTCTTTAAAGAAATGTCATCGCTAAAACTGAAAAGCATAAATGGAGATTGTAAGTTTATTGGAAATAGACATGTAGATCTGCCGGTTGATGTAAAAAAGCAGTTCTTCACAAAAACCTTGCGTCAAAAATTTAATTTTTTATTAGATCGTTATCATTTATCATGTAAATCTGTATACAAAAAAATAACTGATATATAGAGAACTAGTTTAGAATATCTTATTGGATATCTAGAAGGAAAAATGTCTGGTGTAAAAATTTTTGATTATTTATAGCAAAATAATAGGCATAAAAATCATAAAATGCAAAATAAAAAGAATTAAAAACATTTACTCATTTAAAAAATTAAAATTTTTGACGTAAAAATTTTTGTTTAAATCTTTTTTTTTACATTTAAAAAGGAAAATACAATTGTAATCAAATAAAATAAATTACTCAATTAGTAGGGATTACCTTTTAGGGATTGGTTTTTATGCAAAAGTTGTTTATAATAACTAATTGTCAATGAGTTCCGTCAAAATAAATGTGAAAGCACAGAAAATGTAATACCTCAGGATAAATAATTTATTAATATAATTTTAGCTAAATTATCATATACTTTTTTTATTCAAAAATGGATTCGATTAATATTTTTCAACAAGATTTTGAAAATATAATTTTTGACCCTTTTGAAGACAATTTAATAAATAACACAATTATTTTTCAAGAAACTCAAAGGAATTTAATGAAAACACCGTATTTTGATCCTTATGAACTTAAGGTTTCAAAAATTTTCTTTAAAGTAATCAAAACAAAATTAAAAATACTATCACACAAGTTGAAACAAGTATGTTAATATTTTTCTTTATATAAAATCTTGATTTCCAAACTTTTGTCTCACTTATTTCATAAAAATTAAGCAGAAGTAAGTATAATTTAAACAAGATATCTCTATTTCTATTAATCATTTAGTTCTTAAACTTTCACATTTTGTTCCTGAAATATGCAAAGATGTTATGAACCAGAATCATGCATTGAAGATGCAAGAAAATTTCAAGTTAATATAAGGTTGCAATCTGAAAATATCATGTTTTAAAAAGTATATATTTGCTAAAAATGACGTTTTGAGAAAAATACAAAAAACAAAGAAAAAATTCGTTATATTACAAAAAAAAGCATGAGCCCATTTATAACATTCACTAAACATAAAGTACATAATAAAGAAGAAGCTTAAGTATGAAAAAGATCAGTGGCGTAGCTACCATATAGCAAGGTAAAGCAATGCCTCAGGGCCCATGAGTTGAAAGGGGCCCTTTTAGCTTTGGCCACAGCACACAACCGCTTTTATTTTTAATTTTATATAAACAATTTGAATATTTTATCTAGTTTTCATTGCGATTCTAATTTTTTACTTTATAAAATTCTTTCAGTTAATAAGTCCTCCCCTCCTCTTTTTATTTAGATTTCTCCTAATATGTAAATTACCAGTGTTTTTATTGGTTGATTTTAAAATTAACACGCGTTTTTTCCGGACCGTTAGTAACAGTTTAGAAATGCTAACATTAACATGCACGTGTAGCGTCAAAAATATGTATTCGTAACTGTTGCTGAGGCTTTTAACATTGTTTAAATATCCATTGTATTTTTCTAATAGAAAAATACAAAATAGAAAATTTCTATTCATTGTTTCTTTTCTTTTATATCTCCCTTTCTCTTAAGAAATTTACGTTTTCCGTTTTTCTTCTTTAGATTATCTGAAGCATTGCAATAACCATATAGTGCTTTCTGTTTAGGGAGTTTAAAATTGTACAATTTATCCTGATCATTTCCATGTTATAAGAAAACATGGAACTATTAAAGAGTAAAAGTGGGTTTCAAAAAAGAAAACTTAAAAAACAGAAAGAAGAAGCATTAAATAAATTACCAAAGCTAGACAAGTTTATTATTAAAAATAATAATAATAACCAAGAGAGTACTCCAGATGATGCATCGATCGAATGTGAATGTTATGATGAGTTAAATATTTTAGAGAAAGTTTATACAGAAGTGATTGCTTGTAAATCAACTAAAGCAGACTGAAAGAAATTAAAAAAATTTCAGATGAAATAGTTGACACTGAAAATGCTCAGGAAGTTTTTATTCATTAATACCTGTTAAGTTTTAATAGGTATTAATGAAAAAAGTATCATTTATACAAATACCACTATATGTAGTGACCTAGGAAAATATTTAAATCAGAACATTTCTGATGAAACCCAAAGATTACTGATAAGCATTCATAGTCACAGACCTAAAGGACCATTTCCCAAAGATCCTAGTCAACAGAACAGAAGTTTCAGTGAAACTTACTATTATTCTACATTTAACTATGGCCCAGTTCCACGATTATGGATTTGTTATTCAAGTATGTTGGACGCAGTATACTGTCAACCTTGTTGGCTTTTTTCAAGCATCAAAAGTCAATGGCAATCGGGGATAAAGGATTGGAAAAATTTATCACAAAAGATAAAAATGCACAGTTTATCCCAACATCACATTGAAACCTGTGCCGTGCTCGAATTATAGAAGAAAAATAAAACCAAATTTTAAATAATTAAAACATGTGAGATTCATTATTTCTTCGTTTAAGAGTTGGTTATAAAATGTTTTATATTTAATATTGCATATGGTATACCTTTTCTCTCTTTATTTACTGAAGTTTACATTTTATTTAGTATTTTATAAATATATTTTTTGAAGCAAAATTTTTGTATTATTCCTATAAAATTATTTTGGAAATATTTTAGTTGGGGGGCCCTTGCACTGGTTTTTGCCTCAGGGCCCAAAAATCCTAGCTACGCCACTGAATAAGATATTGTTGTTTTGAAGCTTCAACAAATTGAAATTTTCTTGTTTAAAAATGCGTTGCTATGGACCTCAAAACTCTATAATGGCCAAAGTACACACATTTTTACATACTTATATATTTTATTATATAAAAAAAATCATAAATATGTTCTATGAACTAAAAATATCAATATTTAAAAAATAAATTAAAAAAAAAAATTTTTTTAATCAATAAGGGTGTACCACCTTAAAGGAAAAAAGTAATAAATTCATTTTCTATATTACAAATAAATATTATGAGCATAAACCAAAACTTTGACAAGTTTTAGATATTTTAAACTACACGTTTGAAGTTATATCTCTTTTAGAGGCCTTGCATGAAAATGTACTTGATTTTAATTCTAATTACGAATTGCCTAATTATAAATTAATTAGTCAACTACGAGGAAGTAATAAAAACGGAAGAGGAATCGGTGCTTATATTTTAAATAAATATTCATATAATTATGAATCTTAATTATGAAAGTCTATTTATTGAAATAATTAGTGACAAAGATAAAAACATTTTAGTTGGGTACGTATATCGACCGCCGAGTGCACAGTGGTCCAGAAATAACTGTTCTTGTAATGTTGCTTTATATATCTCTGAAGGACTCGCCAATAACACAAAACCAAGGAAAAATTGCAAAACGAATAATAAACATGTGACACGTATTTCATTTGACTTTCTATTGACTATAAACAGTCATCAGAATGATTGATACATTGTTCGATTGAATAAGTATCATACCTGTGCAGAACACCAAGAACATATAGCATAATAAAACTTCCATTTAACTTAATTTAATAGAATTATGAATACCTTTTAATTAAATTTTTCTAGAGGACAAAGTTCACATTTATAACATCTTGGTGAATTACAAAAACATGCAGTTTATCACACCAAGGACAGGTGCCAAGTACAAAAAGTAAGCACAACAACAATTTTTATAGAATTAAAATAGTTTCCAAAATTTATGGTGCATTTATGAAAATTAGTGTATAGAATAAATGCTCTAAAATAACACACCAAGGACACATGACATAACATGCAACATGCCTTTTGCATTTGTACTTATATCTAGATGTTAAAAATTATTTCCATTATACTAACAAAATGTATGTATAATAGTTTTACTTCCTGGTCGATTAATAAACAAAATCATCAAGAAAGAAAATTAATACGGCTGTACTACCTTAAAGAATAAATATTAATAAAACAGATAATTTCTGTTCATTACAAATCTCGAACGAGTTATTTATATACTTTACAAACATTAGCCCTAACCTTGCTAAAAAAGTCATCGCTACACCAGATTCTTTTCAAAAATATCTTAAATCTTTAAATAGTGCGATACTGCAAGATCGCGACTTTTCTCATAAAGAGTATGAAACTGCTTTTTCTTTTTTAAAAAAGAATAAATCACCTCCCGGTGGGAAGTCGGCTAGCGAATAGCTAGCTATAATCGTTACGATAAAGACAGCGATTTGGCCACGAGGATCGCTAGCTTTTTAAAGTTAGCAAAAAGCTATCGATATTTGTAAAGACAAAGACAGCGTTTTGGCTACGAGGACAGCTAGCTTAATAAGCTAAAGACTCACAGGCTATTGTAGCTACCGTCATACCGTAATAAAATTGCTATCAAAAAA